CCCAAAGATATTAAAAAGAATAGATCTCAAGTTAGCAATAGCAGAAAAAGAGAACAATACACATGCTACTAAACTGGTATCACATCATTCTTAGATGTGTCTTCACATCTCAATACAATACCCTCAAGACTAGCTGGGAAGATGCATTTCACCCATTGGCATCCTGTTGTGATTGGCTCGGGTGGAGGTACAATCATCAGCACGTTGTCATTCCTTTGAACAACGCCCATAACACTTACAGTGCTTCCTTCTTTAATATATCTACACATATAGCAGTTATATTTTCAAGAGAGTCAGAAAATATAGGTTCAAGTGGCCATTTTACGGGCAATATAATATACAGTTTAAACTCAAAACCACAAGTTAGTCTAGTCCTGGATCCAAACTACCCCAGAACAATTCATTATTGAGTGTTAAAAAGTACTTGCGATTTCACCAAACTACTGAAAAACAAGCTATAGATACTCTTTACCTTGTCCCTGTTGATCTTTGAAGATAAAAAGAACTAAGTAAATGATTCTTCATGTCACAACTGATACAAATGCCTTCAAGAAAAACTTAATACATAATTTGATGCATCTCTTTCACTCTTTTAATTTCTTTATCATATTTATTATCCATTCTAGAATCCCACTTCTGTGGCAACATAAACAATAACTTATTCATTTATTTCTTATGGCCTATAAGAGTGGTGGGTTAGTTCAAACATAAAGAGACAGGTTTGTGCCACATAATACAACTCAGCAATAGCAATTCAAGACACCTTAAATCCAAACCTCAAGTCATCATCAAGTTTCACCACTGGGCATAGGAGAATATCATTATCAACTACTCATGCTTAAACAAAGAATCCTAGAACATTTATTTCAAGAAATAACCCAACCTCCCCAGTAGAAAGACCCTTGCCATAGCATCTAATGTTCTGAAAGGCCAACTTTAAGCTCACAATTAATCTAATTAATATAAGAGCAATTACCCTTCTTTCATTCGCATTAGACGGTCATCACTTGAAAGGTTCCTTTCTCTCAGCCATCTGATGAACTCTGGAGACAACTCTTCAATAGCAGGGTTGACATCAAATACTAATGAGTCATCAACATAAGGAGTCACCCTTGCTCCATAACCCGTTTTTACCAATGCTCTCAACCCAGACTGGAAATCTGAGATGTAGAAGTCAACTGCACGCCTCTGTCAAAGAATGATAAACACATTGGACTTCACAGTGAGAATGTCAATGCTCAAGTTTATCCTCAGAAGAGGCAGATGCCTTTATAATGGCATCAAAGCCCCCCTTGCACCAATTTGACTCTAGTATAAGAACAAAGAGATCAGGAAACAACACCACCCCCCGCCCCCCAAGCCCCCAAAATAATAATAATAATAAAAATAATAAAATAGGGGACCTAAAATAGGGATGCACTTAAAGAGGCAAGAGACTGCCCAGCTTCCTGGAAACCATACGAGGATTAATTTCAGCACGTTTTCCAGCCTATGCTTTAAGCCTCCACTGTATCAGTTACAGCTTACAAAGCATTTTCTCTTTTTTCTAGGGAGGGGGAATGCTCCCACTTACAACTAATTCAAATTTTGAAAGAGGAGAAGACTCTTAATGAAAATAATAATTGCAGAGAATGGAGGATACAAATTTTGATAAAATATTCAAAGTAAGAATTGAGAAATTAAAAATTCGAATACTTACTTCCAACAACCTAAGTCCCCAAGTAAAACGACGATGTGTAGGATTTGCAGCTTTTGAATCCCATCCCCGGTACTCATACAAACTTGTAGATGTATATACACATCTGGGAACTTTCTGGAAGGATGACTCGAGAGGTACATTCCCACAGGTTACCACCTTCAAGAATTTTGATGGACAAGTTGATAAAGTGAAAAAAAAAAAAAAAAAGGGGAAACAAAGAAAAGAAACAAAACCAACATTGAGAAAAGTTTGAACTGCCATGCATTGGAAGATATAGAGTGCATGTGAATCTAATCGCTAAAAACTCGATGCCCCTGTACAAAAAACATCCATCTATTAAGTATTAACCAGTCATCTAGAATGGTCCCAAGATTTTTCTACATGAATATTGCAATACACAATTGACAAGCGCAAGTATAATAAAAATCATAAGTACATATTGCTATGACAACCTAAGACCAACTGATTCCAACTCCATCATATCCTGTGTCAAGACCTTGTTGGTTTGTCTGTTTATGTATGTGGCTTTTGATCCAACATGCTGGTATCATGATAATTAACTGATGCTACTTATGGAAGAGTAGTCCTTGGAAAAACAATTACTTTCATTCTGTTATAATTTAGAATAATTTAATGTAGCAGCAGGAAGAGTAATTAATTGCTTTCCTATTTCTTGTTAGAGGTTTATGAGATAAAATTGTGTCCTTTCTCAGGTAAAAACATAAGCATTTTACTCTTCCATATTCTTGCTTCACTTAGGAAATTCATAATTCTTGACTCCAAGTTTAAGATTAACAGTTAGATGAGTTGAGATAGGCTTAGCATATATTCTCACTAATAACTACCACCCTCAAATATTCCCTTGTCCTAAGAATTTCCTCTCTCATGGACAAAGGTTATACTCTGCCAAGCTGTTCTTATTGTGGTGTTTATTAATTACTTCTATGTCTTAAAGTTAAATTTACACAACAGAAATATCTATCATTCACGTGACCATCAACTCTCAGAAAAATTAGATGACACAAGCCCTGAGCACTAAAAAGACAGATTTCAAAGAGGGTAGAAAAACAAGGAAATGGATATTAGAATCTGTAAAAATAATAAGGATGAAAAGAGTGCATTCACCTACCACCTAAATGATTACTATTTCCTGAGTTAGATGAAAATATAATGTCAACTGATTGCATTAGATTACATACCCCAGAGATCTTCACAAACTGCCCATTCTTTGCATTTCTAAGCTCAGCATCAGGATAACGAGCAATGAAACCCATAATAGCATTTCTTCCCCAACTGGAGTTCCAAACAAATAATGCAGCAACAGCACCAAAAAGAATGACAACAACAATAAGGAGAATGGCATTGTGAACTGCTCCCAGAATAAAACCACCGGCAATGAAGCCCATCACAAAAAGCAGTACCAGTGACCATAATATTGGTTTCGGAAAGTTCCTCATGAAAGAAAAGTCATCATCTTGGTTAAGAATAGTAACAGCCTGATTATGAGCAACAGCAGCACCTTGGACTTTCATTGATCCCATAGAATCCAAAGGACCTGATACTTTCCGAGGAGCCCCAGATGAATTTAATGGGCCAGAAGAGATGGGACCAGATGTAATGAGACCAGTTGCAGGGAGAACAGGAGGAAGAGGGCCAGAATTCTGGCGTCCACTTGGTGTTACTCCACCAGACTGTGGGCCTGATGATTTCTTAATAGGATCCCCATGTCTATTCAATGGTCCAGAATTTGACTTCTTCAATGAGGCTGAGCTGGAAATACCTCCAGAGGGAACAGGCCCAGAGGTGGTATATCCAGCTCGGGGTGCTGCATTAGGCATGATTGGTCCAGAATGTGAAGCAGCACCTCCAAAAGATCCAGTTCTGGAAGGAGCACTATTTATGGGTCCAGATTTCCTGGATTTAGAGCCATCCACAGGGATATCAAACATTTTCCCCAATTCTCCTGACTTCTTAATGTCACCACCAGTATAGGGCATGGCTACTGAGCTCATGGTTGGAGTCCTTTCTTTAGGCTGCTCAGGCCTGCCTGACACATAAAGGCCATTGCTGAGTTGATGAGATGGGAACCTCGAACCCATCTAGCTTCTTTAGGACGATACAGAAGATATTACACAGGGAAGATTGCTAACTATATGCTGAAAGGATACTTAACAGTCCCCTGTGAATAAAAAGCACCTTTAACTGTCAGAGGAATAATATACAAATAAATAAACTTTTCATGTACATTTTGCAGTTACGGATCATCACATTGTAAAGATCTGACTGATAGAATAAATAAGCAACCCATGATAACAGATATGGCAGTATAAAGAGCAAACTAATTTAAATTAATCATGCCAAAGGAGTGGTAGCATTGCAGAAAAATACACAAACAGAAAGGAACACCAACCTTCCAATTTTAAAATGCCTTGTTCATATACAGGGCAGAAATGGGTACCAGAAAATAAAATTTCAGAAATGGAAGAATACAGTACTAATTCATGAAACACAAAAGATGCGTTACTTAACTTAAAACAAGAATAAGAAAACAAAGTTATGTCTCAAATCTCAAAATGTGGAATTAGATACCGAGTGATAACCAATTTAAAAGTTCAAAATTAGAATCTCCTCCTCTTTCATAGGATTTGAAGATCTCCAGTATATCTAAAGAAAATTCAAATTACCCTGAATTATGAGTGAAATCTATATTATCTTTCATTTCCACAAAGTGAAGATTACCATGCCAGTGATCAGCCACCAAACTAGAATCCATCACCTACACCAGAGGACTAGACCTACAGAAATTACAAATTCTAGCAAACTCTACAAAAAGAACTGAGATCTAATAGTTTGGCAGGGGTTTCCAGTTTTCAAGTTATTTCCTTTCTCCAAACTAAACGGAAAATGACTAATACTGGGAAGATGAAGGATATCGCACAAAAGGCAGCAGTTGCTCACACCAAGCACCTGATTAACCAAATCTACGGCTGAAATCTAAGAAAGAAACCATACCCACATCCCCACTCTTTACCAAACCAACGAGATCTATAGAAAGAAGCATGCATTTCAAGCTTAAAGACTGAGTTCAAGCTTGTTTTGGCAACATGAAATCCAAAATCATGAAAATATGAATTCCATTACATCACAGTTTGTTAAAGAGCAAAATGATGCAAATCATACGACAGAAAAACAGAACCCTCCAACCCATGAATAACTTCACCCAGAAAAGCCACTTCCTTTGAACACCCAATCTCCAAAGGAAGCAAATTCACGCAACAAATCGCAAAAACAAAGCATGCCCACATCACCATTTGGGAAAAAGAGGAAGTAAACAGGAAAGATCTGAGGAAAGAAGCAGAGATTGGAGGTTTACTGTGAGCTGAGGAGGAGAGTAGCTAAAAAGCAAAGAAACAGTAAGTAGAGGAAGGAGGTACCTGAAGAAGTGGGGATAGCTGGAGACGAAATCTGGAGATTTGGAGACATTGGAGGAGAAATCAGACCTCTCTCACTGAAAGTCTATGCGTTTTGGTTGAGTTTCCGTTCTCTCTCTACAAATCTGCCTTTTTTTCCCTGTCACTTGAGAGAGCCGCAACAATTGGTGGGTTGTCTCGTCCGGCAAAATCCTCCAAATCCTCCAAATTGAAGGAAAAAAAAAAAAAAAAAAAA